ACTTGTCCCAATGTATTGGCTATCTTTAATACGCACCTTGTAGTCTTCGTTTCCTCTAGTACTCGTTATCATAATCCCAATAGTCCCCAAGTTCTGAGTCCCAGAAATCGGTGAGACACCGGTCCACCCAAGACCCGGCCTCCGAGCCTTCCCCCGTTACGTTCTCAAACCCCTAATCGTCCCCCTCTTCCGAACTCTTGGCCAGATTTGACACCCCTTCCCCCCCTTTCTCGTCGTGAGTCGAGGGCCTTCCCACTCTAGATCTCCTTCTCTCGACACCACCCCTCTCTTCCGAACCCTTGTTTCCCTTCCCTGCTACCACGGGTCTCGCCATTAGTCCATGAGGATCGAGGACAATAGGCAACGCCCTTTCCCTCGAAATTAAACCCCTTGGGTCCCACACAAAAGGTACCCCTGGCCCCTCTCGAACCCCCCTTCCTTCTCTCCCTAGTGTCCACTATCTCTTCCCCACGTGCGAACCCACTCGCACAATTCCCCCGGACGGCTCTTCCCCCCCCCTCTTTGATTGTTTTTCACCCTCATTCAAACTCCACAAGCAAACTCTTTTACCCTCTTAATTTGTAGATTTTCTCGAAGCAAACACACAAAAATATCCCACCTCCCAACAAGGATCTGACCTGGATTTTCGGAAGTCGTAAGCAAGGCCGAAGTCGCAAGTGGGGCTGGCGCGGACCTGCAAAATCAAGAAATTTCAATACCCCAAGCCCCCCATACAGAAAATAAGGCCTCAATACAGCCCAACAACCCCTCCACACAGAAAATAAGGCCTCAACTGAACACACTCCCAGAGTCGCCCAAGAAAGTTGTCGTCGAAAAATTTGTTGTGAAAAAAGTCGTGGTCGAAAGTCGCTGCCAAAAGGTGCCGAGGAACGTCGATGCCGAAAAACCGCCGAAAACGTTGATGTTGATATCAAGAAAAGAACCCTCCGCCACCTGTCCCGCACGTCCTCCTTCAACCCGCAGACCTTGAGCCAGCCAAGGCCGTGGGAGGAAGCTCATCCCCGGCAACGACGCCAATTTGTCCGGTCCTTTCTCGCACTCTCACGGCTTGGCCCTACAGCTAGGCTTTCCAGCCGTCGAAGGAGTCCCCCCCCCTTTTTCTCGGTGCCAACAGCTCGTTCGCTTGGCCCCGACCGCCCTCGAAAGCCCCCCCCCGACTACCCCCACTCTTCACCTCTCGGCGCTCGCAGGTGGAGTTCGCGCGAGGACTCGCCAGGACCGCTTCTAGGTACTCAGAACGCTTGTATACTGACTTTGAACGGTTATCCTGAGCTCGACCGAGGCCCTGAGTATCGATGAATTGTGTCTTCCTGTCTCTCTCTCTCTCCTTTTTCCTCCCCCTCTCTCTTTTTCACTCTCCCCCGGTTCCCCTTTTTCTCGAGGCTCGAAACGTAAGTGGGTTGACGCCTGCCGAGAGTCCGAGTCTCGCACGAGCGCTGAGGTTCGTGAGTGCCCCGAACGAGACCAAAAAAGAAAAATCAGATTGCCAAGGAGGGAAAAAAGGGGAATTCTACGCCTGAAATCGTTTCGGCGCCAGCAATATACAGAAGTTCTGAGTCCAATAGTAGAATCAACTGAGGTTCGTATGTATGCGGAACGAAACCGAAAATTCATAATACCCAAAAAAAAAAAAAAAGGAAAAAGTCGAAGCCTGAAGTGGTACGACGCCAGCGCCTCACAAGAGTTCTGAGTCCAATAGTTGAATCAATTGAAGCTCGAAACCGAAATTCAAATTACAAAAGAGAAAAAAAAGAAGAAGTCGAAGCCTGAAGCGGTTCGACGCCAGCATCATACAAGAGTTCTGAGTCCACCGGTTAGATCAACTGAGGCCCAACGGGTTCGAAGGCTCGCGAATCCATTGACCGAAGCCGCGGCTCTCCCCCTCTCGCTTTCTCTCTCCCTCGCTACTCTCTTTCTCCCCTCCTTCCTCCCTCGTCCTCTCTCTCTCAGCTCGCCTGTTGCAGCCAGTTGGCGCCTGATGCCGCTTTCGCCACGGCCCGCGACGGCCCAACCCCCGCCCTTTGTTCGACAGCCGACCCAGTCGACTTCGAATAATCTCAGCGAGCGCGGCCGAGCTTTGAGCTCAGTCGTGTCCGTCAGGTGCCTGCCGCTTCCTCTCCGGCAGAGGACAACGAACGCAGCTGAACCTAGTGGCTCATGCCGGCTCGAACTTGGCGTGCCACTAAAAGACGAACGCCCGTGGCTCCCCACCCTCTCTTTCTCTCTTCCTCTCCCTCTCTCTCTCCCTCTTTCTTCGTTCTCTCGACCTTCATTCTGTTCCCTTGAGCGCTGTACCGTGAGGGTCTGCGCGAGCAGACCCCCCCCTCTCTTCTCGCTCCGCCCCCTTCACGCTCTCTGTCGCGGGCTTTGATAGCGAGCCCTGCCGAGCGCTCCGGGCGGCCGGGCATCCCGTTCAGTGCTTTTGCCTTCGCTGCTTCTCTCCTTCTGCCTCCCGGCTCCTCAGCTCGGGGCACTGGCTCGAGTCCAAACTTCTTTGCACGTCGCCTGGTGTACGTATCAATTGAGATCGATCTTTCGTACGCCCCCCCATTCCGTGCACCTCGGCCCTCCTCCTCGCCCTTTCTCTCTCTCTCTCTCTCTCTCTCTCGATGGAAGCCAGCCCGCTGTCGAGCACCATGGGAGGCCGCCGTTCTCCTTGGACGCCTTGGTCCGCCTTCTCTCTCTCTCTCTCTCTCTCTCTCTCTCTCTCTCTCTCTCTCTCTCTCTCTCTCTCTCTCTCTCGGGAAGCCAGCCCGTTTCCACGCCTCGCCCTGCAGGTGGCTATCTCGTGTGTCGGGAGCTCGAGTTGTCTCCACTGACCCGCGCGCGGGTGCTTGCACGGCCCTCTTCGCCCGCCAAGGTACGCCACCGTCAGTCGCGCGCCTGCCTTGTTACTCCTCCCTCGTCGTCCCCTCGCCTCGACCTCTGCGTGCTCGCAGCCTCCGGTCTCTCGGCTCTCGTTCACCTCAAAGCCAGCGCGAGACCGAACACAGTGAGCGCGGACGCGCGTTCCAGGTGCTCTCCCCTGTACGCTTCTCACTACCGTAGCTCCCTGTTCTTTTATATTCTTTGCTCCTCCGCCACCGCCTGTATGTAGATCCTGTCCCTTCTTTGTTAGCCAAGCACGCTATCGCCCCCACCAGCTCAACTTCCTTCACGAAATTTTTGTCAAAATTCCAATATTCCCGCCGTACTAGCTCTGCAGGGCTCCTTCCTTTATGTCCTTTTTCAAGATTCAGTTGGGGATTCTTGTTTCCCATCCTAGTATGCATTTAGTTGTTCGAGTCGACTCATCTCTTCTGCTCTTGGCCCCAGGGGTGCGCTCTTCCGTGAAGCAGTCGCCGTATCCGCATTCTCCCTTTCGAAATCGATCGATTCCGACCGTCGCCCCCCCTTTCTTCCGTCAATCCCACCTCTTCTCTCCTTGCCCAATCCTCTTTCATCTGATCCAGCCTGCAAAACTCGCGCCCCCTTTCTTCCCCGGCGGTTGAGCCTAGTGGCAACTGAGCTCCCTTGACAATTATCAAGAAGATGAGCTCGCGCGCTCCTCTTCGTTGACAGTTACCCTCTTCCCTTCTCCCGTTGGCGCTATTCAGCCCGCATCGACCAATTCCCAGACCCCCTCCGCGCACATCTCAGATCCTTCCGCCCCTTTGCTCTTTTCTCCCAAATCCCCAGCTTCAGCTCTCGAGGCGGCCCTGGCCAGCGACTGCCAAGGTTTGCCCATCCAGCATTCCCGCATTTACTTCTTCAGTTTCACCATTCGGGACGCCCCTCTTTCCAACGGTTGGTCTCTCATTGCCCCTCTGCTCGCTGTACTGCTAGAGTTGGATTCGATGATCCCCCCCCCTGTTCGGTGGGCAGGTTCTCGAAAAACTCCGATTCTCTTAGGTCCACACCACCCTGCTTGTGGCTGTTGACCTGCCCATCGCTCCTACCGGCTCGAAGGTTAGTGTGGGGCCCAAGAACCCCGAGAATTTCCCCAGACCTTGCAGTCATACGCATCCACTTATCAGGGCGTCCAAGAGGAAACACATCGCTGGCGTGGTAGCTCTGCCGAAGACTCGTTCTTTACGAGGACGATTTTCTACGGACCGGAACCATCTCCCACCCTCTGCAAAACCAGCGATCGCAGTCTTTTCCAAACGCTACTGCGCCCTCACACTTGGCAGCCCGCGGTTAGACTCAGTCATTGTTCCGTTCTCCATATAGCCTAGCCCTCTTGCTGTCGATTGAACCGCGCGTTCGTCATGCCTGGCGATCGCCACCATAGCGGACCAGCGCGCCCCGCAGTTAACTTTGAACATGCAGACTCGAATTCCTTGGCCAGGGGGTAGAATCCAGCCGCCTCCTCCGTATTGACACCGACCTTTCTCCTTCTCGCAGGGTGGTCCCGTATTCAGATGTATGCAAGGTTCGTCGCGCACGCCTGCGGCAGCCCGACCACCGCCCATAGTCAAAGTCTGGTTTCGGTCCCCCACGGTCCGCCCCAAAACTCGCCATCAGCCCCCAGCTCCCTGATCCTGGCATCGAAACCTCGGACTTTCGAAATCCGTGGGAGCCTGCTTGCGACAGTCACCTGGCCCACCTCACCTGCCGGTCCGACGGTTAGTGTGGCCTTTCCGACCCCAACAATTTTCCCAAAACCTCTCAGTCACATGCAATCATACGTCAAAATCATACAAAACTCAAACCGCGAATGCGAAGTCGGCTGCTAGACAGCCACCTGACAGCGCCAAGTAGGAGAAGGGCTCTGGATGCTTATGTTGGTGATGGCGAGAGTATGCTACTATGCTCTCATTGACAGTCGGTGTTTTGGTTCTCCATTGGTGTAATATCGGTGCAATTCTGCTTTCTGGGCAGTGTCGGACTTCCTGGCTTTCAATGTGATTTTGCAATCTGGAATCTGTCATTTCGCTATTGCTCATTTTCCTTGCACTGTGTTTGTCTGTGTTATTAATTTGTGTTGTTTGGATAAGAGACTAGGCATCAACATCAAGAAACTAGTGGAAGCATCGCCGTCGATGACCTCCAGAGGCCTTGTCGCGATTGGTGAGAAGCGCTCTACTGTCTTTATGCTAGACTCTGTTACGGGGGATGTGATCCAAGAATTCCGATCGACAGATAATGGTGACAGCAATACAGGGAAGATCTTGTTGCCGGAAGGCCTGGAGGCGTGTCTCGTGACGGAAGACAATCTCGATCAAATAGAGGAGGGAGATCTTGACGGTGAAAATGCAGAGGGGGTATCCGCAGACAAGCTGGTGTGCAAGAGAAGACCATTATTTCTTTCTCGAACAGACTGGAATGTCACATGGAGATCTGTCACAACACAGAAGATCATGCACAACCTTGGGTTTGGGGAAGTGAAAACGCTGGAGTACCCTTTTTGGAAAGAGAGCACGGAAGAGGGGCTACCGGCAGGGGGGAACGAATTGCGATCTCGACAAGCTCTCCGATTGTTTTCGGACACGAACAGCAATGATCTTCAGCTATGGGACTTGGCGTCGGGGACGGAGCAGTGGCGAGTCACACTCGATGCTCGCCCGATCGTTGCCTTTTCCTTATCCGGGGAGCTTATATCAAAGCTGGAGCCCGTGGGAAGGACGTACCAAGTGCGAGAGACATACATTGGCAGGGTTGGCAATCAAGTTTATTTCCTGCCCTTGCCCTTGGTGCAGCGTGCTGGCACGGATGTGATTCCACTCAGTTCCACAGCTGTCGCCCTGCGCCACACAAGCAGTGAAACGATGGGCCCGCTTCAGCGAATCGGGTCAAAACATCTTGTTCCTGTGGAAATCGAAGAGGAGTGGGACCCGTGCTTTCCGCGGGAGAACGAAACCGAAGATCGCAACCTGCCAGCAGTGCGAGAAGTGCAAAACACCTCGCGACCCGCACCAATGCCAAGTCTGGTGAACATGATGCTTATGTGGTACGTGTACTTAACGCCACTGTCTGTGATTGTCGCAATTATCATTGGCTCAGCCATTGCAGCATGCATGATCTTCGGGAGTCTTACTGGCATGAATGAAAAGGGGAGAGAGCAGTCGGCAAAGGAGCATAGGAAACGACCACCAAGGAGGCGACAAGCAAGTGTGCCAAAAGAAGAACCACAGCCCCCAGGGCAGGGTGATGGCTTGACGCAGGTGCAGAAGCAGCAGCTCAAGGCGGCGGAAACAATTGGGGCTCGCAAAAGTCGACCTGACGATCTTCCAGAGGGTAATGATGGCCGCTATGTGAATAGGCTGTATGTTACTTCGAAGATCATTGGTTATGGCAGTCATGGCACCATTGTGGTGGAGGGAGTGCTGGACAAACGACCGGTCGCAGTAAGTACAACGGGACCACTGTAACCTTCCTCTGTCCTCACTGAAACGAGCCCCACCTGTACACATAAAAAATGATAGGCTTAACAACCTTTCTCTGTTGCTCTGTCCCCTGCGTGTATGCTCTTTAGATGTCAAATTTTCAAAGGATTCAAAGCATTTGGGTTTTACTACCTGTTGGGTCTGTGTTGGATTTGATCAATCTAGCCCAAGCGGCTAAGTGGTACACATCAGTAACTGTTGATGAACCGATCATGATCTGAGACCCTGATGGAATCAGATGGATAGGATTACGTCTGTAGCTACCCCTTCAAAAAGACGAAGGAGAAAAAGAAACAACTGTTAGATCTGAAGTCTGCTGGCAGTTACAGATATCAGCCAAGGAGGTTTGAACTCACTCGAAACTCTCCAAACTCTCAAGGAACGATCTTTGGACTCAGGTGTGTGTGTGTGTGTGTGTGTGTGAGAGAGAGAGAGAGAGAGAGAGAGAGAGAGAGAGAGAGAGAGAGAGAGAGAGAGAGAGAAGAGTGCAAAATTGCAAATTGTAGGGCAGAACGTGTTCCTTTGTGCATGACTTGTGGGTGTGTGGTCCTTGTGTCTTTTGAATTGTGTGATGTTCGTTTGGCCTTCACGTCTGTGCGGTATCTCTGCTGTTCAAGCCTTCGAGCACAATTTGATTGAATCGGCTCATCCACTGGTCAAGCACAATGTGATGGAATGACAGTGGTATGTACTCTGACCACATATAGAAAGGACCCAAGACCTTAAGGCTAAGGAGGCCTTCCTTTTATTTGTAAATTTAATGCACTGAGTTATGACGATGATATGTTTGTTGTCTACAGATCAAGAGGTTGCTACTTCAATTTTATGAGAAAGCACGAAAGGAGATCGGTGCACTGATAGTATCAGATGAGCATCCTAACGTTGTGCGGCTCTATGCGATGGAGGAGGACTCAGCTTTTGTCTATGTTGCCCTCGAACGCTGCAACTTCAGTTTGAGTGATTTGGTGATCGGGTCTTCAGGGTATGAGAGCACGACTGGGAGCACAAATTGTAGTGTTGATGTTCCAGGAGGTCCCGTCAACACAACGGCAGTGGTTGTCAAGGACCCTCATGGCGTCTTCCGCCATGTCACAAAGCCATCAAGAGAGGGAAAGGAAATTGTTGTCCAGCTTTGGGATGAGCGTACGTGGCCCACACCTGTGCTTGTACAGCTGATGAAGTAAGCCGCAGTTTGGCTCTTTCTGTCTCTCTCTCTCTCTCTCTCTCTCTCTCTCTCTCTCTCTCTCTCTCTCTCTCTCTCTCTCTCTCTCTCTCTCTCTCT